AAAAAAAAAAAAACTTTGCCTTCCAGCTTGAGGAAGCCAGAAGGTATGAGTTCTGGGTAGGAATCCTGAGAGAATGCATAGTTGTGGAAATTGAATCAATAAGGAAACTGGTTTTCTGAAATCACATTAGTTCAGCTCAGGAAGAAAAAAAATGATTTTTCTCTTCTTTTCCTTTTTTATCCCTGCTTAAGAGCTGGGATGTTTGTGTCTAAATTCTTTGGGGGCTATGTGCCTGAGATGGTGCTTACCCCGGATGATCAGCGCCTGCTGGCCCATGTCACCCTGGAGCTCCGGCACTATCACCAGCTGCTTGAGAAAGTTCGGTAAGTATCTTGTACCTCTACTTCAAGTGGTAGCATTTGAGAGCCCCATACTGATCTCTATAGGACCTCACTCCCTGGCCTGTCTCCTTTTCCAGAATTCGTGATGCCTTACGTAGTATCCTCACCATATCTCGACATGGCAACCAATATATCCAGGTGAATGAGCCCTGGAAGTGGATTAAAGGCACCGAGGCTGACAGGTATGCAAGGAGTTAAGAGTTGGCTGTAGGAATAAGGTGGCTGGTTGGCTGCATCCTCCTTAGAGGACTTAACTAATAACTCTTTCTCCCCAGGCAGCGGGCAGGCACAGTGACAGGCCTGGCAGTGAATATAGCGGCCTTGTTGTCCGTTATGCTCCAACCTTACATGCCCTCGGTTAGCGCCACCATCCAGGCCCAGCTGCAGCTCTCACCTCCAGCCTGCAGTGTCCTGCTTACAAACTTCCTGTGTACCTTACCAGCAGGACACCAGATTGGCACAGTAGGTCTCTGAGAGTTGGTAGATCCAGCCTCTTTGAAAATTTATACTTTTATCATGTGTCCTCTAACATCCCACCAAGCTTTACTTTGGGACTCTTAAATTTTTTTTGTTGTTGTTTGAGACAAGAGTCTCAAGCTGTCACCCTGGGTAGAGTGCTGTGATGTCACAGCTTACACTCTTGGGCTTAAGTGATCTTCTTGCCTCACCCTCCCAAGTAGCTTGTACTACAGGCACCCACCACAACTCCCAGCTATTTTTTGGTTGTCATTGTCATTGTTGTTTGGCAGGCCCAGGCTGGATTCAAGCCTCCGGACTCTTAAATTTCTTGTATAAAGTCCTTGGTCTTGGTTCACAAGTCCAGTTTGTCTGTATATGCTTATTGTTCTCCAAACTCTACCTGGTGCACAAAATTAACTTGTGTACAGATGTTTTAAGATATATCATCATTACTGAGCACAGTGGCTCATGCCTATAATCCTAGCACTCTGGGAGGCAGAAGCAGGTGGATTGCTTTAGCTCAGAAGTTCAAGACAAGTGTGAGCAAGAATGAGAGCAAAAACCTTGTCTCTGCTAAAAATAGAAAACTTAGCCAGGCGTTGTGGTGGGCACCTGTAGTCCTAGCTAAGTGGGAGGCTGAGGCAGGATGATCTCTTGAGCCTAGGAGCTGGCCCCATATACCAAGGGTGGCGGGTTCCAAACCAGCCCCAACCAAACTGCAACAACAAAATAGCTGGGTGCTGTGGTGGGCACCTATAGTCCCAGCTAGTAATGGGGCTGAGGCAAGAGAATCACCTAAGCCCAGGAGTTGGAGGTTGCTGTGAGCTGTGATAGCACAGCACTCTACCAAGGGCAATAAAGTGACTCTGTCTCTAAAAAAAAACAAAAGAAAGAAAAAAAAAACACCATGATGCTAGCACAGTGGGCAGAGAAAACAGGTAGTCATTGCCTCTTTGACAAAGGACAATAACGTACATTCCTAAACTTCTGAATCAACCTTTTTTTTTTTTTTTTTTGAGACAGTCTTATTTTGTCGCCCTCAGTAGAGTGCTGTGGCTTCATAGCTCACCACAACCTCCAACTCTTGGGCTCAAGTGACTCTCTTGCCTCAGCCTCCCAAGTAGTTGGGACTATAGGCACTTGCCACAATGCCCAGCTATTTTTAGAGACAGGGTCTTGCTCTTGCTCAGGCTGGCCTTTTTTTTTTTTAAATTAGAGACAGGGTCTCCCTCTGGCTCAGGCGGTCTACCTGCCTAGCCTCCCAGAGTGCTAGGATTATAGGCATGAGGCACCGCACCCAACCTGCATCATTAGATAGTTTAAATAATCGTTGCCCTTTTTCATTATTTGGGCTTTCATTGAGAATGCTTATTCTTTTTCTAAATCCTTTTCCTGAAATCAGGTATTAGCTTAGGGTTATACTCCACTTTTTTCTATACACATTTATGATTCCTAAATGTCAAGAGATCAGGGTTGGAGACATCCTCTCTAGAGGCCATGGAATAGTGAGTGATTCTGGGATTCTTTCTTAACAGGTCAGTCCCTTGTTCCAAAAATTGGAAAATGACCAGATTGAAAGTTTGAGGCAGCGCTTTGGAGGGGGCCAGGTGAGAAAGCTAAAGACTGCTGTCGTCTCACTCAGCATTAGCCATGGTGTCACCTCCTTAGTTTCCCTAAGTAGCCCTGACTTATCACTCTTTCCATCTTTGACCCTGCTACTTCTTCACTTACAGTTTTTCTTTCCTATCTTAGCTAGAAGAGTCCTTGGAGCTAAAGGTAATCACTCCCCTGGTAATATATACAATTGGAGGTTGGGGAGTTTTATGGCAACTGGCAGTAACTCTGTTGTTCTTTTCCAGGCAAAAGTGTCTCCCAAGCCAGCAGTTGTAGACACTGTTGCAGCAACAGGGCCACAGCAGATACAAATGCTGATGGATGAAGTGACAAAACAAGTATGAAGCTTAAGACCTGTGGGAAACTGGAAAAAGCTGAATCCTATATACGTCTTTTCTGGTCTCACTATTATTCTCTTCACTCCTCCTTCTCTTAGGGCAACATTGTCCGAGAACTGAAAGCACAAAAGGCAGACAAGAACCAGATTGCTGCGGAGGTGGCTAAACTCTTGGATCTAAAGAAACAGTTGTCGCTAGCTGAGGGGAAACCCCCTGAAGCCCCTAAATGCAAGAAGAAAAAGTGAAAGGAAACTTGTGACTCATAGAAAATCACTTTAATGGATAGATACAGTAATAAATAAATGTACACTCTCTAAATACAAGTGGAGACCCTTTCCTTTTGTCTGTCCTATGCCTACCTTATGAATATGTGGGGTTGAGGGTCACATCATTGGCACTAGTGAGCAGGTGGTCAAGAGCCACTTCTGGGAAAGGTAGGTAGTGGGCCTGAGTGGGAGAGTGATGGTCCCAATCATTCATGGTTGGTGCAGATCAACCATTCGGTCAATCAAAGCTCTGCGAGTTGCCTCTACTTCCTTAGTCAGGCGCTCAATTTCCTGCTTGAGCCGTTCATTCTCTTCAGCTAGCTGTGCCACTTTCCTCTCGTTCTCCTGTTCTCTCTCCTTCATGCGCTGCTTTCCAGCCCGGGCTAGGGAATGGCCACTCTGTTTCCGTTTCCTGGTTCTTTGGTCTTCCTCTTCCTCCTGAGTCAGGGAACTCTGACTGGAATCTGGAGAGTGAGGGCTCTGTGAAGTGCTTGTGACCTCTGCTGCTCCTGGCTCCTCAGTCAGCCAAGCCACAGAGGCAGGGTCAAGAGTGGTAAAGGTTTTTGTTGATTCTTCCTTCAAGGAAAGATAGGGAGAGTAGGTATTAGTTGAGAAGGGAAAGGTAACATCACCCTCCAGCTTTAGGCCTGGCATTCTTACCTCTTCATTTCCAGGTGGTGAGACATAGGTAACCCCATTTTCATCTGAGGACAGGACCTCTTGCAGGTCCTCATACCAGGCTTCCAGCTCCCAGCTGGACAGTGTCCCAAAGGAGAAAGGCAGTGACTCAGCTGCCATCTCTGTAGTTGAATCAGGTCTGGAAAAGTATATACTTAGAAAAATAGAAAAATGGGGAGTGGGTGGAATAAGCTCCACCAAGCAGTCTATGTCACAGGTTGGCAAACTAGTCTACTACCTATTTTTGTAAAGTTTTATTGGAACACAACCATATATATTTATTTACATATTGTTATGGCTGCTTTTGTACTATAATGGTAGAGATGAATAGTGACAGAGACTATATGGCCCTCAATATCTAAAATATTTACTGTCTTGCCTTTTTTTTTTTTTTTTTTTTGAGACAGTCTTACTATGTTGCCCTTGGTAGAGTGCTGTGGCATCACATCTCACAGCAACCTCCAACTCTTGGGCTTAAGCCAGTGGTTCTCAACCTTCCTAATGCCATAATGTATTTTCATTGTTAAAAAGGGTTGCAACCCACAGGTTGAGAACCACTGGCTTAAACGATTCCTGCCTCAGCCTCCTGGGTAGCTGGAACTATAGGCACCCGCCACAACGCCCAGCTATTTTTTGGTTGCAGTCGTCACTGGTGTTTAGCAGGCCTGGGCTTGAACTTGCCAGCCTTGCTGCATGTGGCCTGCGCCCTACTTAATGAGCTATGTATGGCCCTGAGCCTACTGTCTTGCCTTTTGAAATTTACTCCCAGTCTATACTAATATTCCCTCTTTGCTTTTTGCCCTGGATTTGAAAAAGCATTCTTACAGGATCTTACCAAGTCCTCAACCCTATTTGGGAAACTATTGGTAGCTTCTAGGTACAATTACCAGACCACGTGTGCTCCTTCTGTGTGAGCATCTTGGGCTAATAGTTCTTTGAGTCAGTTTAACCTATGGGACTTAAGATTGGTAAGACAAGCCAACTGTCTTTGTTGAGGTTGACTTGAGGGCCAGGTTTTAATTAGGAATAGGAGCATGGTCACCTTGTTAGGGGTATGCCAGGAGAATAGACCTAGCTTGACAGCAAAACTCACTTGGATTCAAACCCTCCTCTCCCACCTTGTTTGGGTCTTTCCATAATCTCCTAAGGTCCCAGGAAAGGAAGTCTAAGCAGCCATCTTTTAGGACTTGGTTTGGGGAAAGGGTCACATTTACCTGCTTTCAGGTGTGGTGATGTATGAAGATACACTTCCTTCTGGAACACTGTGGGGAATAAAGATAACTGTTGACCATTTTTGGAAGGGGGAGAGGCAAGTTCTTTTTTTTTTTTTTTTTTTTATTGAATGGTAACTATGTACATTAATGCACTTCTGGGGTACAGTGTGGGGTTTGGCAAGTTCTTTTTATCTTCAGCTACCTATCTTTCCTTACTTCCAGTCTTAGGGATAGTTAATGGTGCCTGTAGCCATTTCTAAAGACAGAAGAGAGCCTAACTTCCTTTATTTTTAGTTGTTGACATTTGTAGTCCTGATTATATAATAGCAAAGTCCTGGCCAACTCAGCTTTCTCTAAATCTAAGGCAGGCCTCAAACCTGCCAGGGTGAGGACTAAACTATAGAAAATAGGCACAAATCAAGTTTTCCTCACTTTATCCAACAATTTTCAAGTGTACATTTCCAATCTGGACTCTTCTGGAGACTCCAACTCTGCTATCTACTCCTTCCTTGCCATTTCTTTTTAATGTCTAATAGGCATCTCAAAGTATGTCCAAAGAAAAACTCCTGATCTTCCCCTTCCAAGGCCCTCCCCATGTCATTAAATGGCAATTCTAGTTGCTTGAGCCAAAAACCTTATTATCCTTGCTTCCTCTCCTCTCATACCCCACAATCCAATCCAAAGCATTACCAAATTTATTTTTTAATATATGTTTTTATTAAGAGACTGGTCTCGCTATGTTTCCCAGGCTGGATTGCAGTGGCTATATTCACAGGTGCAATCCCACTACTGATCAGCACAGGAGTTTTGACCTGCTCTGTTTCCAACCTGGGCCAGTTCACTCCTTAGGCAACCTGGTGGCCCCCTGCTCCCGGGAGGTCACCGTATTGATGCCAAACTTAGTGAGGACACCTGAACAGCATAGCACACTATAGCCCAGAACTCCTGGACTCAAGCAATCTTCCTCTATCAGCCTTCGGAGTAGCTAGGACTATAGGCACGTGCCCCTGCGTCTGGCAACATTACCAAATTTTCTCAACTCCTACTTTAAACATTTCTCACCAATTCCATTGTTTCCAATCTAGCTTAGTTTATTATCATCTAACCCCTGATTATTGTAGAGGACTCCTGACTGCAGAGGGTCTTCCTGATTCTTTTGGGACTCAGTTCTGAGTCTATTCACAATAATAGCAGCCAGAGTGGGCATTTTAAAACTTAGGTCACCCCTCCACTCCAAATCCTCCAATGTCTTTCTATTTTATGCATATTAAAGGCTAATAATACGGCTCACAAAGCCCTACACAATACGCTCCTACCCTACCCCTGACTTGACATCTACCACTCATCTACCATCTCTTGCTTACTCTAGTCCAGTCCACTGGCCTGTTCTCTAAAGATGCCAAGCATGTTTTCATCTTAGTGTTTCTACACTGGCTGTTCTTTCTAGAAAGCTCTTTTTTCTACATTAACTGCATGGCCCACTGCCTTGCCTCCTTTGGGTCTTTCAGTTAAATGTCACATCCATTAAGTAATGGCCGCTTAATGTAAAACTGTAACCTCCACCCTGAACATTCTTTATACCTTTCATTGCTTTAGTTTTCTCCCTAGCCCTTAGATTCTTTGTTTTACTGTATGTCTCTCACTGAGATGACTTTTTTCTCTCTGGATATGCCCTGGGCCCCAAGTTGCTTGGCACATAGTAGGCACTCATTAAGTATTTGTAGAGAATGAACGGGTAAATTCCTTTCAATCTTTTACAGGGAAAGGACGACTAAGTCTAGAGGCAGAGCAGCATCTGCCTATCCCTGGGGCCTGCAGATGCAATATTGCTCTGAATATTTCTCTGCAGGGCTGTCCTCCCTGGGGAACCCTTCCTTGCCTTCCAGTGTGTAGGACCTGACTTTCATCAGCAGTGAAGCCCTAGGCCAGAGGGCTGCAGAGCCAAACAGGGGGCTGGCCTGATGCAATGGTTACACAGAGATCAGTTGGGAGACAGGACAGAGCAAAGAGGCAGGTACCAATCCCAGGGGAAAAACAATACACTGGAGATAACCCAAATGACTTTCTACATTTAAGATCCAGGCTGCTCTTGTGCGGGAAACCCACCTCGGCTCCCACTGCATCTGCAACCCTCCCCCCAATAACTCGCGTCAGTCTTCTTCGAGGTTCTGCTGTTCTCTGCAGGGCCCAGGAGCCCCAGCTACCCAAATGACCATGCTGACCCCGAGGCGCTGCAGCTGAGACGCGACCGGGTGAGGTAGGGAGAATGCCGCTGGTGGCGCAGCGGCTGAAACGGCCTGAGCCATGGTCATCCAGTCTTCTCATAGCAGGGGTGTGTCCTGCTGCCCCGCCTCCCTCCAGACAGGCCTAAAGAGGTGGCCCGCTGTTGGCAACTGGAGAGAATGAATTTCCCCGAGGGCAGCAGGGATCCTTTTGCCTAACAGCATAGAACAGAGCCCGTGATTCGGGCAGAGATGGAGTGGGCGCTATCGTCCCAAATTATATGAGTCTGTAAGTACTACTCCTGAGTAAAGGCTACTTCTCCTCCCTCGGACCGTCCCAAATTTCATGCGGGAGAGGCTAGGGCACCTCCTACAGAGCGGTCGCTCCAACTTTGAGGAGACAAGTGATGCTAGCGAAGATGGGAGGATAAAGGGTAGATGGGGGCGATCAATACTCGCCTCTCTCCTCAGGTTCCGGCTCTGATTTTGGCTCTGTCGCTGCCACCCGTTCATCTTCAACATGATATGCTCTATGTCTTAGACTCAAGCCTCTGACCTCAGGCTGGTAGAGCTGTGATCTTTTACCATCGCCTTGCCCTCCTCCCGGGGGCGGGATCCATAAACCTACCAATCAGAAAGCGGCACGCCGGCATTGGCCCCGCCTCATCCCTCACGTCCGCCATTCAGGGGCCCTGAGGCACCGCCCCCACCGCGCCCTCGGGTTTGGGGGTCTACGCCGTGTCGGACCCGGAAGTGGCTTTGGGTCACGAGGCTTCGCGGAGGCGGTGGGTGAGTCATGCGCGCGCGCGGAGGGGAGTGTGGTGGGGAGGGTAGGAAGGGGGGCGGGGATGATGCAATGTTTGGCAACCAGTGTCTGCGCGCGCACGCGCAGGAGAGAGCCAGGGTGGTGGGAGGTGCGGGGGGTGGGGGAGAGGAGAGGGGGCGGGGCACAAGCTCTCAGCACCCAACGGCCCAAACGGTTATCAACCGTGGCCACCCCCAAGGCTGTAATGTAGAGCGTCACTGGGGCTTGTCCCCCCGAAGAACTGTTGCTCCGCCCACCCAGCGTTGGCCCCTGTTTTACCTACTCTTCAAAGGACTCCCTATTTCCTTTGGCCCCTCCCAACTAATGGGCACTTAGGCCTTTTGAACCTTTCTCCTTTGAAAGTTTGCATCTATCCATTGGGATTGTGGACGTTCGACTCTTCTTAAATGGTCTCCTAGCCTGCTGAAAGGGGCTGAGGTTATGGAATTCCCTTGGTAGTAATTTTCTGCTTCTCTCAGCAGAAAATTATCTTGTAGTTTTCGATAAGTCCTCAGCATGCCGGAATTCAACGTTTTTTTGCCCAATGGAACCGATTCTCACTGCCCTCTGTATTTCTCCCTATGGTGCTCTAGTGCGTTTCACCAGGACCAAGCCCCTCCCTTTTGGCTGTACCAGATAGTAGGTACTGTGCCACACTGCTGGGAGGGGTCTTGAGGGAGGGGCCGCAGGCGTCCTCCCTCCTCGGTGTTCGCCGGGGGTTTGCAGTAAAGCCTTGTTGCCTGGGCGTGTACGTGCACTTCAGCTGCGGCCGCCGGGACTGGGTTGTCAGGAGTCCACATTCTAGTCTGAATTCCTTGACTCTTGCCCAGGGACGGTCCGTTCTTGTTTGTAAATTGAAGATACGGAGTTGTACAATGAAAACTCGGAACTTGAAGGCAACTTGAACAAAATTTAAAAAGCACCTCGCGCTGACGGGGTAGCTCATGCCTGTAATATTAGCACTCTGGGCGGCCAAGGCCGGTGGATTGCCTGAGTTCAGGAGTTCGAGGCCAGCCTCTGCAAGAGCAAAACCCCCATCTCTAAAAAAATAGCCGGCGTTGTGGAGGGTTTCTATAGTCCCAGCTACTCGGGAGGCTGAGGCAAGAGAATCACTTGAGGCCAAGAGTTTGGAATTGCTGTGC